TCAACTACCTGAAGGGAGGTTATAGCCAGGTGGGGGTTGGTCTCTTCTCCCAGGCAACCGACAACAGGACAAGGGGACATGGGCTCAAGCTCTGCCAGGGGAGGTTTAGGTTAGATGTTAGGAAGAAATTCTTTACAGAGAGGGTAATCAGGCATTGGAACAGCCTACCCAGAGAGGTGGTGGATTCACCATCCCTGGAGATTTTTGAAAAGAGATTGGATGTGACCCTTAGTGCCATGATATAGTAATTGGAGTTGGATCAGGGGTTGGACTTGATGATCTTGGAGGTCTTTTCCAACCCAATCTATTCTATGATTCTATGATTCTATGAATTATGAGAAATATGTAGAAGTGATTTGAAGATACTAAAAATGAGATCTGACTCAATGAGGAAGCTATACATTTCCTGTTTAATTCATATCACAGCCTGGGCTTATAAAGGAATTGAAAGTGGGATGAAAACAAGTTGCTTTACTGATCACTAAAGAACCCCAAACTAACAAAAAACCCCTAACAAAACAAAACAAAAAATCCAACACCCCCTGCCTTAAAAAAAACCCAAACCCCCCAAAAACACCAAGCAGCAAAGCCAACCAATCTTTATTTCCCATTTCTTTCTGTGTAGCATCTTAGTGAGGCATACAGGAACTGTTAGACGTGTTACAGGTTTCACAGAATCATAGAATATGCTGAGTTGGAAGAGAGCCACAAGGTTCGAGTCCAACTCTTAGACCTGCAAAGGACCATTCCCAAGGGACACACCATGTGTCTGAAAATGTTATCCAAACATTTCTGGAACTCTGTCAGGCTTGGTGCTGTGACCACTTCCCTCAGAAGCCTGTTCCAGTGCCCAACCACCCTCTGGGTGAAGAACTTCCTTCTAATATCCAACCTAAAGCTCCCCTGACACAACTCCAGGCCATTCCCTTGGGTCCTGTCACTGGTCACCATAGAGAAGAGATCAGTGCCTGCCCTTCCTCTTTCCCTCACAAAAGAAGTTGTAGACTCTGATGAAGTCTCCTCCAGGCTGAACAGACCAAGTGACCTCAGTCACTCCTCATACATCTTCCCCTCAAGGCCCTTCACCACCTTCTAATGGTTAATTACATGACTTGTTAAAGAAATAAGACAATCTGACAGCACAGTCCTAGGAAATTTGTTTCCTTAGAAAACCTGTCCGAAAACTTAGGAAGTGAGTGGGACTTTAGAATGTTAGCTCCTGTATTTAGTACCCTGAGGCAGGATCATTTGTTCGTATGGGAAGGCATTTGTTTAACCTCTTTGGAAATACAACTGATGATGGAACTTCCATGCCAGTGCCGGGCAGTCTGGTTACTTCACTATTCTTAAAAAATTTTTCCTAACTGAATATTCTTTGATGGAATTTACATCCATTATTTCTTCTCAGCTCATTGGAGACATGAAGAATTTCTTCACTTTATCTTTGGTGAAGTTTTTCATGCATTTGAAGATTTACATACATTCCTTGTTTCTCTCTCAATTGAACAGAGCTTGTTCACTCATCCTTTCCCTGTGGCCTCTGAGTCTGTGGTTCATCCTAAATCCAGAAATCACCTCCATCGGATCTTTTCCTATCTCTATGCTTTTTTACCTGCAAGCAGAACTGAAGTGATCTGAACCTTGGAAGTTCAGATCCAGAAGAGAAAACCCAAAGTCTTTTCTGTCTAAAGAATAAATCTTTACTCAGAGTCAGCTCTGAAGTTTCCAAGAACTTTATGCAAAAAAAGGCTAAAAACCCTCTATGTAACTTCAGGTGTTGGCCTGATTTATTTGTAAACCACAGGAATGCAAGGAGAGGGTTATTGTAAAGAAGGAAATTTGGGACAAAATTTACAGAAAACATAGCTTTTTTCCCTTGTTGTTTTGAAGAGAAAGTTTTCTAAGAATCCCACCAAACCTGACATCCCCAAAATTTCTTCCTAAAGCAGTTTGTGACTCTGCCTTCTTTTCCAGCTCCAGACACATAGTGGCAGGTTCAGTGACATTTTTTTAATATAAGCATCAAAAGAAGTGGTTTCATATATCTGTGTTGTTCTACTCCATGGACTTCATGAAATATTGAACATAAACTAATCTCATTTAATCCTGCATTAAGTATAGACAACATTGAAATAGGATAGAGAGAATATTATCATAAAATGTATTATTTCAGTGACTTGCTTTGTTACAAAATCCTTCACTACCTTTCATTCATGTTCCGCTTTATGGAGAGAGGTGGTATTTGGCATAAATTTTATGGAATCATGATACTACATTTTGATAATGGTGTATACTATATCTCTATATGTACAACTGCTGAGACAGATAGCAATCAATTACATCCCAACATTAGGAATCTGAAGATGGACTTTCCATATAATTTGGCTAACTTCAGAGCTTCTGTGTCCAGTAAAGTTGTATATCTGAAAAGAAATACAAATTTGTATAATAGGACTTGATGCCGTAAGGGTGGAGATTAGTTGCTAAGAAATTAATTACAAAGCAGGTTGAGAAATGTGTGTTTGGAATAAGTATAAGCATGACTCTTATCTCACAATTAACAAAGCAACAGCAAACACCCATCAAACTAAGCTCTACTAGCATTGCCAGTTTTCTCTGGGTGGTTCCAAAGTGTTTTGTAGCATTCATTTGCAAACATTTGCATGTTATTGTTTCAGTGCAACTGAAGAGAGAGATGAAGTGACAACTGTAATGTAAGAGGGAAATACCGTTATCAATTTTTACTTCTAATCAATTATTCAAACAAACAAAAAATAGATCAGTTTCGTACAAGAAAAAAACAAGAATAAAAAGACTCTACAATAATTCAGGTCAAGCAACAATGTTCTTCAGCCCCATGAAGAAAAGTTTGCATGTTTGTATGAATTATGTCAGCTGGTATGCTGGAAGTTCATGCTGGCTCTTCCTACAAACATTTCTGCAACAAAGCACTTCTCAGGAGCATCTCAGTATTACAGCTCCATGGAAAATCAAAGCTGTGTCCTTTGAAGAAAAAGGCTTTTTTAAAATCATGCTTCTTTCTATGTAATTTCTTCTTAGCTTTTTTCTGTGTGAGGAAACCCCAGCAAAGTGTACTCTCCAAAGACAGGCCTGCAGCAAGCTATGTGAATGCTGCCTCCAGGCGGCTCCGTGCATGCCTACAGCGCTGGGGAAGGGAGAACTTTAAATGGCTTCTCAGGTCTGTGTACGCAGACAGAAATCAGAACAGCTGTTAATTCCTACTTAATTTCAGAACAGACTTAATTACACCTGTATTTGTTACTC